TATGTTACTGCTCTGTATGAGAGCCATGCGCCGGTCAATCACGGTGAACTTTGCATGGAACGTTCCAAATACAGGCCGGTGGTAGTTGATGACTTGGAGATCGACATTGGGGATCTCGCTCGCGGCAGGTAGCTTCACTTTTCCACCGACATATTGGTCCTCGTGGACACTCAATCTATTCTCCCATGCCTAGTGGTTTATTAGAATCATATCTAGGTCGTGTGCGATATATATATATCAAAAGTAAGAGCACTCACCTGACGGGGATCTCCGCGATCATACATCAACTTCATAATCACTTTCTGTCCTCTTTCTCCTGCCCGTTTGGAGAGTTCCCGGATGGCATTCGTCACTAATGTCGATGCATCCGAGTGGATCCAGAAATTGGTACCCAAAAAGACTTCATGTTCAGCGCGCGCAATGCAATTCGCTAAATGGCGACAGAGATCGGGTAGCGGGGCGACAATTGTCAGTGGTAGAACTCCTGTGCTCCCCAGCAGCCGGGGCGATACAACCCCTGACATTGGGTTATTTTCTAAACAGCATAAGGCGTCATGATAAACCTGGAAATATGTTAGATTGATTCTTCACTTGACGGTAGAGGAAATTTGTTCACCTTTAAAAATAGATCACTCGTTTCCACAGACCCAAAGTTCCCGCAAGTGCGAGCTTTCTGCAGCTCATTCAACGATTCCCATTCTAACTCATTTTCGACTTCTGATTGTTCCGCGCGATCGAGTATATCCGACGCGTCACGGCTCTCGTACAGATTGTAAAAGACATCTTGCGGCGATTGCGACGAGTCAAGAGCCAACTCCCATGTTACTGTCGGCTCTTGACACATATTGTACACCTTGCGTGGTACCATCTTGCACCGAACTCGATTGGGGCTTGGAGGTTGTCGAATGAATAAAATAATGCCGATGATAGAAAAGGATACGGTCGCAGCAGCTAGCTTGAGAAATTCGACGCAGTTCAAGAGTGTTCCAGTCAAGTTCCACGGGTGGAAAATACCATCCATGACTGGGCTGACGTAGGGTTAGCCCTGTTCTTTCCTTCGGGGTTTCTTCTTTGTAGAGACACGCGTCGGGGATTTCAATGCGAATGGAGTCGAACAACGGTGATGCCTAGAATATTTTCTCTTAGCTCCATGTCCTTCTTTCCAAACTTGGAAGGACCGTTCAGCCCTATGACGTCTGTGCTGTATACCCCACAAAAGTACCGAAAAGGGCGATCTAACCCCGACATTTCTACGATATTTCTATATGCTGAAATATCATTGACCAAAGCCAGTGGAATTCGTATTTATTCTTGAAGAGATTAAAAGATATACATAAAGCCATTTCCAAAAGGCGTGGGGGACAATCATACCGGAGTTACCTCCCCGATATATATGAAACATGAAAACCTCTAAGCTTTTCTAGCGCATCTCCTTAGTTCCAGATATCTCCGCTGTAAACTCTCCCTGTTGCAAACCCCCGACTTTAGGTACTTCAATCCCAAGGTCAATATCTCGCACTCCCCGAACAGATCGACGGGGTGTCTTGATCCCAGTCTGCAAATATAGATCTAGTTCATCGACATAATCATATGCAGCCTTGCTGGTAATGGCAAGCCTCTCATAAGAGTCAAGTCCGCCTAAGCGCCACTCGGGTAAGGGCCTGCGGGAATCTCCCAGGTCATACACATAACCAGGGCGGCCCTTCTCGTCAATCACCTTCCGACGGGAAAACTTGACGTCATGCCCAATCGGCGTGTAGTCCTTGATCTGCTCCGTCCTAAATCCTACTACTGGATGAACAAACTCAAATGTCTCCCCTAGTAGGTTTCCCTCTTTGTCAAAAGAATTATAGTTTCCAGGTCGGCGCCTCTCAGACCCGTTGGCGCAGTAAAATAGCGTAAAGCTGTCTTCTAGCGGGCCTGTTCCCCAGCCATAGCTGCGTCGCTTGTCCACAGACCGGACGGGAGACGTGGAGGGATGCTTGGGTTTGAAAGCTGAAGCTATTGCTGCAACCTTGTGTTGGGCCCAGCCTTCCAAAGACTCGGGGGCTGGGTTTTCGACAAGCGTTGAAATGTGGCGTTCCCTCTCTTCTCTTTCCTCGGAGATAGTCTCCTCATTGAGCGACAGGTGGGGTTTGATCCGGTCCAGCATCCAGGAGAAGGTAATATTAGACATTTCTTCCATGTCACCCTCGTCTTTGAGGGTTTCACTCGAACCCCCACCGATGTTAATGTGATAACCGGGGAACCACACCTGTGTCAATGTTCGGGGGTGGAGCTGGTGCTTGTGGTCATCTTCCAACTTTAGGAGCACGCGGGTCTCCTGATTCAACGCTGTGGCCATCTCATTTAGCTTTCGGGCTGCGTTGTTGACCTCCTCGTCACTAGCCCTGCCGCTACCCTTAATCCGGATTGCGTCTTGCAAGAGATCGTTCCATTTTTTAGCTTTCTGATCGACTATTCTCTTCTGGGTTTGTATCTGCTCTGAAGTGACGTTTCCAAGTTTATGGAGATACCACAGAGTGGGCGAGAAGGCATTGCGGTGTTCATCGAGCGCCAAGGCCTGGAATGCATGTTTGATATCTGGAACCGTTTGTCACTATTGTGCCCCTATGAAACCACCTCGAGGCAAGAAGGAAAGACAGATATTAGTATACTTACTAGGTGAAAGTCCAACATTTTCCCATCCATTCTTATCCGACCACCACAACAGCCACGATGGCAACGTCATCCCCAGTATTTCCGGAATTCCAATAGCGCCGACCGTATCATAGACGCCAACAACTTGCACGTCCCTTGATCCCTCCTGAGCCCAATCACCCTCGGGACGCTTCTCAAATACGAAAGTCTCACCCCGAGCGCCCTGATTCTCATCAGCCTTTCCATCAATCCACTCAAACCAGAGGTCACTGCAATAGAACCGCTCGCCGGGTGTATTTTTCTTATAGACCTCCCAGAGATCGGGAAACCGATTCAAATCCTTCTTACAGCAAATACCAATATCCGAGATTAAGCCCGCAATAGCCCGGGCCGTGAACGCGCCCCTCGAGAAACCAAAACACATAATCTGATCGCCGGGTCTGTAGTTCAGGACACAGAAGTTATACGCTTCGACGACATTCCCTTCTAAGCCCTGGCCAATGGCGCCTTCGATCCTTTGTCCCAAAGGACCTGAGGTCGTGCCGATTCCGGAGTCATACCAGACTATTTGCTGCCATTGATTCCCGTGTTCGTCGGTTCCGACACTGTTCAGGGCGCGGCAGAGACGTGTCACATTAGATGGGACGTTTTTCTTGCCTGAGACGGCGGATTGCCATGTTCCGTCGCAGCAGATGATGATGCGCTTGCGCATGGGGTGAGTCTTTGAATCCCTCCTTTGTTGGACTGTGCATGCTGGCTCATGAATCTCAGAGGATAGAGGCATTGTGTATGTAAAATGGAGTCTAATCTGGTATGGAGAGGATTGGGTTTAGTAGGTGGCAACGACTCCATCTATATAGTTTTCATTTTCACCCATGTCTATGTTTTGATTGGTTTTTTTTTCGCATGACTAGGTTTCATCTCGAGGTCGCTTTGATTATCTGTTTTCTCTACCTGCATGAAGCCCCCTCCCCCCCCCCCCCCCCCCGGCTACTATACGAACTCCAGTGCCACCGTCAGCAGGTTTCGAATCACTCATACGGGCGACTACAGTAAAACCTAGTTATTGCGGAGCGAAGCGAAGCAAGTATAAATCAGAAGGTACGTGGCCAAGTTTTCTTTCCCAGGGGGGCTGAATTATGACAAAAGCTGGGAGTTGATCTAGCCGAGGGGTCGCTGTGAAGCCAATAAGCCAGTAAGAGGGGCTTTGCGCAGCATTAGAAGTTAGAATCAGTCGCTTTGCTCTGCAACGACTATCTCGACAGCCGTAGGCCGGCGAGATCACTCGTACAATCCCGTCACGTTATTCGTTGTATACAGTACTAGGTTGAAATAATTTCTTGTCAGAGACCTGGGGGTAGGAGAGTATTATGAAATGCACGGACCTGCGCTTTGGAGGAGGTGTTGATTGAATATAATTCAGCAGTCTCCACTCCCAACTTTGATTCCACATGGTATAGTTTACATATACAACATATTACAACTAGAAAAAGCTTGTCAATCATTCATCAGTGATGCGGTCTCCCTAAATTGGAAATCCAGGAGATCTTCCAAGGTTAGAAAATTCAGAGATCTCCAGCGATGTAGCCATCGTAGGCCAAGAGTGCGAGCGCCTGGGCAGATTAGCGCCCGAAATCTTCGGTTGTACATAGATCACTATCACTATCACTTATGTGACTGATGAGGTCTACACTGCATTCCTAGTGCCCCACTAATGTACTAGACACGTTCGAAATGCATCAAGCTTTCCCAAAACTCCATTCCATATAAGCACCTGCTCGGTATCGGCATCTAAAAAAAGCCGATCTACCTTATCGTGGCAAGATCGCCGCTAATTATATTACCATAAGATTGGCCTCCGTACCTAGCTCGGGGACATCTATAGAGTCTCGTAAGACCACTTCAGGCCATTCCCATAGCCTAGTGCAAATCGATTCACATAGAGGGGAAGAAGCATAGAGCATTGATAAGAGAACAGTGAAGCAAATCCAACTGTGACGTGATAGAACCGGCAGAAATCTTTCTCAACATTAGCTGTGGTCTAAGGGAATTGAGGTTACATTACGAAATCGGGAATCTAGCCCTCAACTCGTCGGGTATATATAATCGGGGTTACCACCCGTAGCCCGTGGACGACTTCGGGTACTAACTTGCCAGCTTGCAGGGATCGTGACTTGGAAATTCTAAATCCGATTAAGTCCGAAGTGGGATACATCCTAAAGTCCGTTAAGACCATTTCTTTATTCATGGTATCGTATAATTGCGGAGCGAAGCGAAGCAATTAATGGACCATCCATTGCCTTCCCACCAACATCGACATTACAACATTTTTCACCCCTTCAAATACAAATCTTCCTACAATGGCCGCCGTCACTAAGCCCTTGATTCTGATCACCGGTGCAAACCAGGGCCTGGGATTCGCGACAGCACAACAGCTTGCTAGCACTGGCCAATATAATCTTCTTATTGCCGCCCGCTCCCAGGAAAAAGCTGAAGGCGCAGTCAAGCAACTAGAGTCTAGCACTAATAGCTCTTTGACGCCTATTATTATCGATCTTGACCAAGACAAATCTATCACTGCGGCAGCCAAGTTCGTCGAAGAGCGTTTCGGATCGCTGGATGTCCTCATCAACAACGCTGGTATCAATAGATCGTCCGACCCAAATGCTACTCTACGCGAGAGCTACCGAGCTGTATTTGAAACAAATGTTTTCGGTGTGGCAGTGATGACAGCAACTTTCCTACCACTCCTACGCGCATCGAAGTACCATGACCGACGTATTGTCAATGTGACAAGCGGCCTTGGTCAAATTGGCATCGCGTACTCGCCAACTTCAGAGTATAGTGCTAAGATATGGGAACTACCCGTCTACCGCAGTAGCAAGTCTGCGATCAATATGATTAGTGCTGTTGATGCTGTTAGTCTCGAGAAAGAGAACATTCTCGTTATTCTAGCTGCCCCAGGCTTCTGTCGTACCAACTTTGGAGGTGGTCAGGGCGTCAAATCAGCAGAGGAGGGGGCTCGGCCTATTGTACGGGCTGCTACAGAGGGTTCGCCAAAAGAACTATTTGGAAAGCTTGTGGACGACGAGAATACGCTGGTCGAGTTCGGCTGGTAGATTGCATTGTTATGGGGTGTCACACCCCGGCCTGAAGTTTCAGTACCGCCTTCCCAATTTGGTCGAGCACCTGCCTGCTTCTGCCTACCATTCTCCTTACCGCTTCCAATTTTGTACACCGCTTTTGTATTTAACTGCATATGATAGTAGCAAGACAGCAGGTACTTATAGTTTGTATGTAAACTCCTAGCAAAATTAAGTCACTCCCGTCATATCTTATATCAGCTGTTTCATCCATCCATCAAGGGGTTGAATCATACAGGAATCAGGTGAAATACACGATTTTTTCTAATCAAAATGCATGTCTTTTACTATGTAAACCAGAAGTAGAATACATGGCAAAGTGCGGCAGAAATATGGCAGAATTGGAATTTGGCCGGGGTGTGAGCATCCGGTGCGAGCAATAATTCCAATTTGAATTACTTCATATTGATAGATCAGGTATAGATCAGGTGGTCTCTGGAATAGCTTCATCTCTTCAGGCATTATCGGGCATGGATATTACTAATTGCGGAGCGAAGCGAAGCAAGTAACTAACTATAAATCAGAAGGTCTGACGTACGTTTCACGTGGCCAAGTCCTCTACCAGGGGGGCTGAATTATGACAGAAGCAGGGGGGTTGATCTAGCCGAGGTCGCTGTGAAGCCAATCAGCCAGTCAGATGCAATTTGTTCGACGACGTGGTTGTGGCTAAATTCGCTCGCTTTGACTGGGAGATCCAATATCTAGAGAGTGAAACCACGGCTTACCAATGGATTGAGGGCTATGATATCGGCCCACGATTCCTTGGCCATTTGACGGAAGATGGCCGCGTGATCGGATTCTTGATGGAACGCATCAAGGGTGCCAGGCATGCTAGCCCCCAGGACCTTGAGTCCCATCAGAAGGCATTGCCTCGATTACATCGCCTAGGGATCCACCATGGAGATACAACCCGATTCAACTTTCTTATACTCGGCACGGAAGTGTGGCGACCAAGATGCACTTCTGAAAGAGCTCGAACATTTACCGAATTCCCTAGAGGATTTATCACGTCGAGGTGGGGGAGGGCTCCTTTGAATAGTCCTTCGAATGCATGCCTCTAGTTTTTTCGCGTCGTCTTTGATGCCAGTCTAGTTTCAGACAGGATCGGGCTGAAATTCACATACTTGTACGACAAGTCGCGCTTTTGCATCGAATATCCCTCTAGGGGAGGGGCAGTGTATCAGCGAAATCGGCTGTTATGGTGGAGAGGGATGTAAAGAAGGTAAGCTTTACCTGACCAATCCAAGTCCTATCTTTTTGATCGGCTAGCAGGGTGGCACAGCAGACCTTGCTGGTAATAAATCTCTCGGCCAACGATTTACTATTCAAGCTGGATTTTGAATGATCTTCCCAAAGTCGATTATTTCAAGTAAATCTCATAGTTCTTCGACCAAACTCGATTTTCTCGCTCTACCTAAGCATTCTTCAATCACAGCATTTCATACTTAGAGATATGTCATCTCCAGGTAAATGTTTGTCTACTTCTATACTCCGTAGCATATACCGAATATAATATCTATGCAGTTCGGAGACTGGTTCCCGGCAGAAGCCCTCTCATCCACCGCGGTTATCGGGCCAAACACGGAGAACTTCTCGGGGAATTCGGAGATGACCCTTATAGAATGAGGAATAACCGAGAAATATGTATATTGAATTCTTCAGAGGCAGTCGGTGTTTCTTTGGCCCCCGGCGCTCGGAGTTGTGGCCGAGATCCAAATCCAAGGCTTCCCCGGATCTTCAGCTTTATTAGCAACGTGCTGCCCCTCTTCTCTGTTCGATCAGATACCGGAAAAACATCCTTTTTACTAGTCAACATTTTATAATATCAGAGAGCTCAGCTATGTATGGAGTTGCCCCATGCAAACATTCAAATGTTCTTTTTACTCACATACAACAAGGGCTTATACAGCATCTTTTGCTTTCTTCGAAGCCCTCTGGGAGGTATGTATATATGCAGTAGCAGCTTTATTCAGCAACATTCCATTCTGACCTCTACAACCTCAGGGCGGCGTCAGTCATGTCTTTGTTAATTTGGGATCGGACCACCCCTCCATCCTTGAGGCGATGGTGAAAGGCCAGAAAGAAAAGAAAGGCCAATTCCCTACTATAATCACCTGTCCCAATGAGGTACGTTAGCAATTGCATCATGGGACCCACCAAGCCTAACGGCAGCACTTCGGTTAGAGTCGGTATGAATGTGTGCCCCGCTGACGATATGCTGTTTAGATGGTGGCACTGTCCATGGCCGACGGCTACGCACGATTGACTGGAGAGCCGCAAGCAGTAATCGTCCATGTCGATGTCGGTACGCAGGGACTCGGAGCAGCAGTTCACAACGCCTCATGCGGGCGCGCCCCGGTTTTGATATTTGCCGGTCTATCGCCTTACACGATCGAGGGCGAGATGCGAGGTTCGCGCACGGAATATATTCACTGGATCCAAGACGTGCCGGATCAGAAGCAAATTGTCGCCCAGTACTGTCGGTACACGGGTGAGATCAAGTCGGGCAAGAATGTTAAGCAGATTGTCAATCGGGCTTTGCAATTCGCAACTAGTGACCCACAGGGGCCTGTGTATCTCGCCGGGGCGCGAGAGGTTATGGAGGAGGATATCGAGCCGTACCAGCTAAACCAGGCTGTCTGGGGTCCTGTGTCACCGGCTGCCCTACCAACCTCCGGCGTTGAGTTAATCGCATCTGAGCTTGCAGCTGCCAAGAGCCCTCTTATTATTACTGGATATTCCGGGAGGAAAGTCCAAGCTGTGACTGAGCTGGTCGCATTGGCAGATAGCTTCAAGGGAATCCGTGTGCTGGACACTGGTGGTAGCGACATGTGCTTCCCTGCTAACCACCCTGCATGGTTGGGATTGAGATATCCAGGTCATGAGGCAGTGGGAACATCCGATCTAATCCTGGTGGTAGACTGCGATGTCCCTTGGGTGCCTACCCAGTTCAAGCCGTCTGCGTCGGCCAAGATTATCCACATTGATGTCGACCCTCTGAAGCAACAGATTCCAGTTTTCTACATTCACTCGATGGCTGCGTTCCGCGCTGACGCTTCCACTGCACTCAAGCAAATCAACGATTGCGTTGCTTCTCAGGAATCTCTGCAGCAATTCATTAGCTCCAAGGAGAATATCACTATGGGCCAGCGCCGAGACGAGGAGTATTCGAGGCGTCGACAAGAGATCTCCGATCTGGCTGTAATCCCGGAGGGCGGCGACGGGGCCTCCTTGAATATCCACTATCTCATGGCGCAGGTCCGCCAGGGCGTTCCAATTGATACCATCTGGGCTATCGAGTCCGTGACCATGACCCACTTTGTCGCTGATCAGGTCTCAGCTACTCAACCTAAGTCGTGGATTAACTGTGGAGGTGGCGGTCTCGGCTGGTCCGGCGGTGGTGCGCTTGGTATCAAGCTTGCTAGTGACATACAGCATGGAGGACGTGGAAAGGGAAAGTTTGTCTGTCAGGTTGTTGGTGATGGAACATTCCTCTTCTCGGTGCCTGGATCTGTGTACTGGATCGCCCGCCGCTATGGAATCCCCGTTTTGACAATTGTGCTGAACAATAAGGGCTGGAATGCCCCCCGGCGAAGCATGCTGCTCGTTCATCCTGAAGGGGACGGCTCTCGTGCTACGAACGAAGACCTCAATATCTCCTTTGTGCCAACGCCGGATTATGCCGGTATAGCCAAGGCCGCTGCAGGTGGTGACTTGTGGGCTGGGCGTGCCTCGACTGTTGCTGAGCTCGCCCGAAAGCTCCCAGAAGCTATCCAGAGTGTTCTAAACGGAAAGGCAGCGGTGCTGGAAGCGCAGCTTGACGGGACCGCAGGGAAATATGTAGAGAGCTCGTGAGAACATGGAATTTGGAGGGCATGAAGTACTTTTAGAGTACTAGTGGTCCATAGACTACTCCATAAGAGTCACAATTCATGGAGTAAAAAAAAGTGAGATTTCAAGAGATGTATATTTTGTATGCAAAACACATGCAAAAGATACCTCGTGAAAAAAGCACCGCTACCCCACCCCACGCCCTTTGACATGCTAGTGCATCCAATTGATAGAAATACACTGTCTGTCCAAGCTATTGACCCCAACAGTCAAATAGGAAGCTTATCAAAAGTGGACTGTAGTCCGTTGCACCGTAAATGAGTCATCTGATTCGGAGAACGCTGGAGAGATGAAGTTCCACTCCGCTTTCGCCGAGTCGCCCTTCGCAGCACCTTCGATTGCTCCTGTTTCTTTTTTTTTTCTTAAATAGTCCACTGTCCTTTCACACAATCGGGCCAATACTACTATCTCCTACGAATTCGATATACAATATACCCCGATATACCAAACACCCCTCCGTATAACCCCGCGCATACCCCTCCGAATTCCGCATTTCGCATTCACACCGCCACCAACTCAATCACTCAATCACCATGAGTCCACCGGCACCTCTTGATGTCGACCTAGTGGGCGTCACCGATACCTCAGCTGTCCCTGTCCCAGATCCCTTAACCATCAATGGCGTGTCAGCATGGCGACAGAAGATGGCCAAGGTCCCCACCGGCGTGGCCGCGCCATCCAACAGTGACATGTTCAAGAGTCCGGTATGATAATTCTAGATTGTGCATAGGAGTCACGGAGATATGGCCAAGGAAGGCAATCAATTGCAGGATACGGAATGCTGATATGTGTCTGAGGCATTAGATCTGCTATACCAAGCCTAAGGCTAAGCGGTTTGAGCGTATGTCTACCTTTGCCCTTTGCGTGTGGTTTTCGCAATTATTCCACTTATGCTAATCATTCGATCGCAGACCGTTTTTCGCTCGAAGCCAAGTCTCGCAAGGTTCGCACTCAATCGCGCAATGCGAAGTCCACTCTTGCTAATCCTTCCACACCTTAGGCGTCTACTTTGAAGACTGCTGCTCGTTACCTGAATAACCCAGGTAATACTTCCGGATACTTTTCTTTCGGTTCATGGGCTAATTGTGTGTTCAAGGCCTTATTTCTCTCGGTGGTGGACTGCCTTCGCCCGAATACTTCCCTATCGAGCACTTGGATATTAAGGTCCCGACTGTCCCTGGATTCTCTCCGGAGGCTACTCGGGAGTCAGGCACGGTTCTTCGTGCTGGAAAGCAGGACATTAAAGATGGAACTAGCCTTTACGGTGAGTCCCCGTTCTCCATGTGCATTAGAAATGGTCATGACTGATCCAATTGCTTAGACTTGGAGATTGCCCTTAACTATGGACAAGCTACCGGAGCTGCGCCATTGCTTCGTTTTGTCACGGAGCACACCGAAGTGGGTTATAAACACTATATCTGTCGTCTTGTCAGCAGATACTAACTAAATTAGATCATCCACAGCCCTCCCTACTCCGACTGGCAATGCACCCTGACTGCTGGCAGCACCTACGCCTGGGACACTGCTCTCCGCTTGTTCTGTGAGCGCGGAGACTATATCATCATGGAGGAATATACTTTCGCCAGTGCCGCCGAGACTGCCTTCCCCCTTGGCATAAAGGCCGTGGGCATCCCAATGGACGGGCAAGGTCTCATCCCGGAGGAAATGGACAAAATCCTCAGCAACTGGGACGTCGCCGCCCGAGGTGCACGCAAGCCTCACGTGCTGTACACCATCCCAACAGGCCAGAACCCGACTGGTGCCACTCAGTCCGCAGAACGCCGCCGCGGCGTGTACAAGGTCGCTCAGAAGCACGATCTCATCATCGTCGAGGACGAACCCTACTACTTCCTGCAGATGCAGCCCTATACCAGCGGGGATGCCACCCCAGTGCCTCCCCCTCCACCCACGAGGAATTCATCAAGTCACTTGTCCCCTCGTTCCTGAGCATGGACACTGATGGCCGTGTCGTTCGCCTCGAGTCTTTCTCGAAGGTTATCTCGCCCGGTTCCCGAGTTGGCTGGATCGTGGCCTCTGAGCAGATCATCGAGCGCTTCCTCCGTAACTTCGAGGTTTCCTCGCAGAACCCTAGCGGTATTTCCCAGATTGCGCTCTTCAAACTTCTTGATGAGCACTGGGGCCACTCCGGCTTTTTGGATTGGCTGATCAACCTGCGCATGTCGTACACTGCTCGTCGTGACTCGCTCGTTCACGCCTGTGAGAAGCACCTGCCCCGCGAAATCGCTCACTGGGAAGCCCCCGCGGCTGGCATGTTCGTAAGTTTCCCTGTCTATTCCATTCACTTGTCATCCTGCGATAAATACTAATATCTACCAGCACTGGATGGAAATCGACTGGCGCAAGCACCCCGGCGTTGCCGCTGGCAAGACTCACGCCGAAATTGAAGAAGAGATCTTCCTTTCCGCTGTGAACGACGGCGTTCTTCTTTCCCGCGGCAGCTGGTTCAAACCCGACCACGACACTGCCGAGGAGAAGATGTTCTTCCGCGCGACCTTCGCAGCTGCTTCGTCGGACAGGATTGACGAGGCTATCTCTCGCTTCGGCCAGGCTCTGCGCACTCAATTTGGCCTGTAAATTGGTTCCTGACCTACGATTTTGACGAATCTCTTTTATCATAAAGAGGATGCATTAACTTGTTGGTTTTGTGATTTTAGATGGTAGATATCGCAGTTTTATAAAGGGCGGGTTTCATTGTGTTCTAGAGAAGCATATTGCATTCTCTCTTTTTGGTTAACTTTTGATCTAAATAGTCAACAATTCTATTGTTTTATTCTTCTATCGATTCAATATCGAGTCGAAAGAACAGTATTCGTATAATATAATAATGCACAAAAAGAACAATGGTTGGTATCAGGCAATAATAAAACAAAAAAGTAACAATAAAGGATGAGAAATATATCCAAGGAATCAGGAGCATTCAAGGGGACCCCCCCCCCCCCCCCCCAAGGGAAAAAGATCATGACCCCAGAATCTTGCCATAAGCATCCTCCACCTCCTTAGCAATCTCCAACAGCGTGACAATAATGATCTGGTGCGTCACATTAGGCAGCTTATCACGCTGCAGCCCAATCCACTCCAACGGCGGCGTAGCCTCACCCATATCCCGCAGCTGCGGGGTCTCAATAATCGGCGGCTCAAGCGCAGTATATGTATACCTGGACTGGGGCACATTGACAACCGCAGTGATCTTCTCCTGCTGCTCAGGGCTAGCACCACTCCCTTCACCACTACTAGTGATGCGCACCGCAGACGGCGGCAAGGGCTTGCCAAGCCGCGACGCGAGCGCCCGCGAGTGCGTCTCCCACATATCGCGGATGAAGCTGATGCGCGAGTAGTTCCAGCCGACATCGACTTTGCCCTCGAACGTGCTGCGGAATATGTAGTCGATTTGGTGGCTTCCTGGAGCCTGCCAGGTTTCCATGCTCGCGACTAGTCGTGGCACTTTGAGGATTGTTCCGCCGCGAGATACTGCGGCTCGCTCGGAAATCTCGTCCACCGAGAGCTCGTCGAGTTGGGCGGATGTGGGCCGCGTAATGCCGGACAGCGCTACACGAAGCTGGCCCAATGTTAGGCCCAGGGCACTGTGGATTTTGTTGGCTTCGAGCGAGACGGAGAAGCGGGCCTCGGCGTCGTGGGCTTCTACCTTGAAGATTTGGTTGTCGAAGAATGAGCTGGGGAATGCTCCCAGGTTGACGTGGCGGATCTTCACGACCACTCCGGTGTGTAGAGAGATGGGTGCTTTTTCGGGCTTGTCGTGGTCTTTCTTCGCTTGATTCTTGGCGCTGACATCGAGGCGCTCGGTGAGGACAGAAGACTTCCGACGGAGGTACCGCTCTACCTCGCGTAGTGATGCTTTGTAGGCTGCTTGAACGTCTTGGATCAGGCGCTGCCACGCCTGGAATAGCGCCAATGTTTGTGATGCTGTCAGAGATGTGCAGAATAGCTGGAGTTTGTCGCCTTCCAGAATACTGAAGAGGCGCTGGCTCTGCGCGCCGGATGTATTTCGAACATTGTACATCAAGAAATTGAACATGGCGATCTGTGCAACCAAGAAAGGTTGGTAGTCGAATGACACCTTGGCTTGGAGGTGTTGGAAGGCAATTGTGGCTTGAATCAACGGTGTGTGTCCTGTCTCACAGGACTCGGGCCATTCAATGGAGGTATGAATCCTCAGTGTTCTAAGTTCGACAATACCACTCATGCGACCCTTACTCTCGATGGCAACTGAGCCAAAATTTATACACATGTTCTGTTCGCTGTCAGATGTCTTGCTGGTAGACACCCACAGATCAATAATGGCAAACTGTGCCTTGCCTAAGGTCGAGCCCAAATCGAGTTGAATTTCCACCTTCTCAATCGCGATGGTAGTGGTCCAGGGGAATGCGGACGCCGACGCAACCTGTTGGTATCGCTGCACGATATAGCTTTGCGTTTCGGACGGTCCTGGCTGTACGGTCTCACTCGAGGTGGTTTCATTGTCGGATGGAAGCCAAATTTCCTTAAAGAGCAAAGAGTCTTGAACCTGTTTGGCATTGACTGCGACCTTCATTGGACTGACGCGCAAAATAGCCGACATTCCGTTCATTCGACCAAGGTGCTTGCTATTCATCAAGGACAGCACCATGGACTTGACCTCGAAGCTTGCGGTTGATTCATTGGAGTACACGTGCTTTACAGATGCTTCCAAGCTGTTGAAAGCCAAAGAGAGAGCAAGGAACCGGCCATGGTCTTCCGAGAGGACCGTGTTGACAGTCACGTAGACACTCTCAAACCTTGCAGTAGCTGCGACTCTTGCAATAGGCTGACAGCTTAAGCTAAATTCCTGTTTGTAAAATAGCAGTCCCACGTTTACCTTGCACCGACCAAGGAGGCTGGTTGGATCGGCGGCATCAAATGGCTTTTCCTGCATTGGTTTCTGCGTCTGTAACTTCGCTGCTGCAGAAGGCTTTCGAGGCTGGCCCTGCTGGTTGCCCATGATCTCCTTGACTGTGGCGGTCATCTGCTTGACGAGAGGAACAAGGGTTGGATACAATGTATTTGTTGAGGGGTCGACTTTCAACTCCGCATTGAGTGCAGGATCATCGGTGCCGTTGTCCTCGAATTGGACTTTGAGCGCCACTCCCGGTGCTCGCAGAGTTGCTGTGGTCGCTACATCGCCTTGGACATATTGGCCATATTTTGCGTCGGAGAGTCGGCTACCCTTCCATGTGGCGGCTAGCAATGTCTGGTGATCATGGCCAAGTTTTCCTTGAAGCGTGACAATAGCGCCTGCAAAGTCAACATCGACGAGGAGAGACCGCAATCGTCTGTTACCGAAAAGGCTGCGATCTTTGTTGGTATTGTTCTCGGGAGAGTCTGCTTTGGTTGCCCAAACAGCCTTGCCTTCACGAAGTGCCTCGCTTGCTGTGGACATTGAGTCTTGTATCATACTAGCCGGAATGATAAACTCCGATGTGGCGCGTATGTCGAGGGATTTGCCAGCTGCTTGGAAAGCAAGACACACTTCCTTCCCTTTGGAGGAATACGCCACGTTGAAGACCAGCTCTGGCATAAGGGCTGAATTGAGCGAGCGCTTTTCTCTGTCCGCTCCGAATGGTACCATCTGAAGTTGCATGTTTTCAATTCGAAGTTTGGCTGCGTTCTTCTTCTTGTTGGACAGTTCGACTTGTTGGATTGAAAAGACCAGGTTCTCGGGCTGTCGACCAGATTTACTGTGCACCGTGGTCATGTTCCAAGCAATCTGAATGGCCCGGAATTTTAAAGAGTAAAGAGCATTTAGGAATGTTTCCGGGCTGGAATCATCGTTGACGTGGATTTCAGGGGCAGCGGTGGCTCCGTCTTTTGTGTCAATGTGGCCACCATGTCTTAATCTCCTAAGACGCTTGACTTCATGGGAAAGGTCCAGGGTTTTGATGCGCTCTTGTGTATAGACGGCAATATCGACCACAAGGGCTGCTGTCTCAGCGGAAAGTTCGACATCGAACCTGTCGCTAGTGAAATGGTATGCTCTAGTGATCTCCCCATTTTGGCGGATCGCAGATGTTCCCTGAAGCTTCACTCCAGCAGAGAAACCTCCATATGATTGACTGCTAGCCTTTTGTTGTTTTCGAAGCTCAAATATGATCTGGGGGGCATCGATATTGAACTCGGGATGCTCCATGGCGTATCCCCGATCGAGTCCATTTTGAAGTCGCATACGCATCATCCCAAGGCTGAAGATCATCTCCGCAGAGTAGTCTTTGCCCTTTAGGCCTGGTGCAATGGCATGAATCTCGAATCCAGCCATTGTGAGACGGGATTTGTAGAGGATCTCCTGGCTGCCAGATGCTGGCTTGGGCTTTGGGGATACCTTCTGTAGCGACAGTACGTCTTTCAGGTGTAACTGGAGAACATCTAAATTCTGCTTGATATCACAAACCAAATGGGAAACATCAGGTCCTGTCAAAACAGCGAGGAGACTGCGCACAGCACTGGCTTCTAGGCGAATGAGTTCAATCGTGATATCAATCTCCACTTCCTTGCGATCCGGTAAGAGATTAGCAAGGATTCGCCCGTTTACGGGAGGTATTTCCAGCATGGACAGAACATTGAACCTGTGGCTTTCACCCGATACGAACATGTGCGAGTTCTTCTTCACATCAAAGTCAATCTCGATTTTGGATGCCTCCGTGGGCATCACTGTCATGCGAGCGACCTCGCCGGACAGAAGATAGCTCAAAGATGGCAAAAGGGTAAAAGTCAACCGATAGTCTTCTAAGAACATTGCCACATGGAAGGTGTCACGAGTGGGTTTATTTGATGCGAGGCTCTGACCGGTTTCCGGATTTGGTACCTTGACACTATCCATAAGCTGTCGGATGTATCTGACTTCGTCCGCGATGAGTCTATCTGCTGTGTGTGCTAAGCTGACAGGGTCTTCTTTCATGTCATAACGAAGCTTCCTGCAGGACCCAGCGATCTTCCAATCGTGTCTGCACTCGTTGTCATCTTCCTCTGATGCAAGCGAAAGGTACACGTATGGGTCGGCGATTCTTGATAACATCAGAGTAGTAGATTGGCTTTGAAGCTCAGACGAGCATCCTTCAGCGCTAAACAATACAGCGAGATCTTCTGGTTCTTTGGCACCAAGCGCCTTGTGAACGATCGACCCTCGGAGAGCCTTCGCTATTAGAGCAAGCTTAACATTGACACAATCGAGAGTGATGGAACCAAAATCAGTGCCAAACATTATCTGCAGCTCGATCGGTGTCTTCTCTTGGACCTTGTCAATTGGGACATGACCCGGCGAGGATGCAAGTGTGATATTCGACATGACCTTGATCACTCCTTCAGCGAGGTCTAGAATTTCCCAGCGCAGCCTCAGGGCTGTTGATCCGCAATAAGACTGCAGGGTGATGAGTTGCTTGCTCCCTCCTTCACCCTCAGGCGCGTGTGGAGCAAATGATGCAACAGTGGACAAATTCCCTATGGCCAAATCGCTTTCTTTCGGACCAGGATCCATGGAAAATTGGAATGTTTGGATTGTGGAGGATATGAACATCGAAGGCTCGGAAGTCTGCCGTTCGGCGGCGTGC